GTATCAGTGCTCTTTTTGTTTGTTTCTGCTAGTTCCTCAACCCATATACATGCCACAGATATTTCCCCCAAACTCCTCCTTCCTATCCCCAATGCTGGAAGTTGTAGATTTATTTACATTGTACCTTTTGACAAATACTCTATTTTATGTACTTCTAGTTTTCCCAGGGCTATATTCAGGATTCCAGCCATCTGGAGTTTATCGTAGCTTATGTACTTAAGCATCAATTTTAGACCTACAATTTTAGACACACAGTATGCCTCAAATGATGCAGTAGAGGCATTGCTTTTTATTTTATTTTATTTTTTTAATACTTACTCATTTTTTGAGAGACAGAGACAGAGCATGAGCGGGGAAGGAGCAGAGACAGAGGGAGACACAGAATCCGAAGCAGGCTCCAGGCTCTGAGCTGTCAGCACAGAGCTCAACGTGGGGCTCAGACTCACAGACCATGAGCTGGTGACCTGAGCCGAAGTGAGATGCTCAACCGACGAAGCCACCCAGCCACCCAGTCAGTGGGTTTGAGCCCTGCTTGGGGCTCTGTGCTGACAGCTCGGAGCCTGGAGCCTGCTTTGGATTCTGTGTCTCCCTCTCTGCTCGCCCCCGTCCAAAAGAAATAAACATTAAAAAAATGTCTTTTAAATATCAGTGTTGAGGGAGAGAGAGACCCATGCATACACGCAGGTAGAACTGTGCTGTGTTATGGGGTAAAAGGACTAAAGATTTCCGTCCATCTCTCCCAAGTGAGGATTTCACTTTAATATAGTTCTTGGTCACATTTTAATAGACATTCTGTGTCTTCTGTAGGAATCAATAGGTCAAGTTATTTTGAAAAAAGCCCAAAGTCTGTGTAATACCTGCCCAAGACTGTGTGAATAAGGAAAAAAAAAACCCAAAAAACGAGAAAACAAAATTCACTGTAAAAAATTTTGCAGTGTCCAAATGAATAAATCACTCATGGTCCCATCCTTCCTTCTAGAATAACCAGCAGTTAATATTTGACCATGTATTTCTGGTCTTTGTCTAGCTATAAATAGATAGCAAACAATCTCGAATCGGTGTTTTTGCACTTAAAAAAAAAAGTGATAGGGTCATTTATTCTCATTATTTCCTGCAGCATAGTTTTTAAGGCCAGCTGAGTGTGCCGCAAGGTTTCCCCCAGAGAGTTCCATGCATAGCAGTCTTCTGCTCTCATTTCCTTCTGCTAAATCCCCCAAAGTGGAATTACTGTGTATATAGAGAAGGACTTTTGTTTTATTTTTTTATTTTTAAGTTTATTTATTTTGAGAGAGAGAGAGCGCTCGCCCAGGCAGGGGAAGAGCAGAGAGAGAGAGAGAATCCCATACAGGATTCGAGCTGTCAGTGCAGAGGCTCAAACTCTTGAACCTACGAGATCACGACCTGAGCTGAAATCGAGAGCCGGTCACTCAACCGACTTAGCCCCCCAGGCGCCCCTGTAAGGACATTTCTAAGGCCCTATCTTGTCTGTCTTTTTGAAGTTGTCAGTAGAATTGGACAGAACTCCAGGATCCTTTCTGGAAAGGTTGCGTGGCTTTGGAAGAAGAGTACCCCAAGGCTTAGTTAGCATGGTTAGCAGGAAGGGGGTGGATTTCACACGGAAGGAAACGTCGAGGTGCAGACTGCAGAACTGGAAAAATATGTTGGGGGCACCTGAGTGGCCCAGTGACCTGGAGCTTTCAAACACGTGGGAGTGTGGTGGAAGATTGGACGAGGCCAGACCGTGGGAGGGTGGTGGGTTGTTAGGGAGGGTTTGAATAGAGGCATGATGTTACCCAACTGGGCTGTGCTACGGCGCAGGGGCGGGGGGTGGGGGAGAGGCCCCACACTGTGCTCCTTTGTGGGGAGGACTGTCCTCTGGGTCATAGGCAGTTGGGACTCAGTGGCCAGAATGGGTCTTTATTGAAGGGGCAGGGCCGAGACACATTGGGAACCAGATTCCAGAATGCTGGACACTGACCCACGTGGGTATAAGAATATGAAAAAAGACACTGATGGTAAGAGGAAGAGCTGGCTTTAGGGGCACCTGAGGGGCTCTGCCGGTTAAGCCACCGACTCTTGATTTTGGCTCCGGTCACGATCTCACAGTTCCTAAGTTCGAGCCTCGCATCAGGCTCTGCGCTGACAGCGGTGAGCCTGCTTGGGATTCTCTCTCTCCCTCTCTCTGCCCCTCCTCTGCTCGCGCACGCATGCACTCTCTCTCTCTCAAAATAAATAAGTATTTAAAAAAAAAAACAAAAGAGGAAGAGCTGGTTTTAGAGATTCTGAGCGGGAGGCGGCTGCTCGCCTCGGGAGAGAATGTTGGATGGAGCTCAGGATATAGTGGGATATTGAGCGTGGCCAGGCGTTGAGTCACCACATAAAATGCACAGTGCTCAGTTAAATTTGAATTTCAGATAAACAATGAATAACTTTGTAGTGTAAATTATCCCAAATATCCCATGCGATATACTTAGCCTAAAAACAATCATTGTTTATCTGAAATTCAAGCTTAACCGAGTGCCTTGCATTTTTTAAATGTTTATTTATTTTGAGAGAGAGAGAGAGAGAGGGAGGGAGGGAGAGGGAGAGAGAATCCCAAGCAGGCTCTGTATATACTTTCAGTGCAGAGCCCGGTATGGGGCTCTATCCCATAAACCACGTGAGATCATGACCTCAGCTGAAACCGAGAGTCGAACGCTCACCGGACTGAGCCACCCAGCACTCCCTACCTTGCGTTTCTATTTGCTAAATCTGGCAGCCCTGTTTGGGCATCAAAGACAAGCCTGGAGGAAGAATTCAAACTAGATACTCCAGTGAACCCAAAACCAGCATGACTGGAATGAAGCCTCAGAGCCAGTATTTCAGCTAATTCAGTCTTGAATTTTGCTTTGTCACAGCCTGAAGTTTTTGGAAGGATTAAAGAAAGAAAAAGGAAAAAGCCCAGGCTTTTGGACTTGATTGGCGGTGGCAAGAATCGGCCGCGTCCACAGTCCTCAGATGGCTCCCTTGGGTGGGCGGGGGCTAAGAACACCCCGGTGTGGGACACCGCCTGGCGCCTGGCTGTGTCTAAGGGCAGGACACACAAGCACAGCCACTTTGTGCACCTGCATATGTGTGCACACTCAGGCAAGGGGGTTTGCTCCTCTCAGGTGCTCAAGCTTGTACATGCATTTAGACAGATGCCCCTAGGGGGCGGGGAGGCTCAGCCTGTTAAGCGTCTCTCTCTTTTTTTTTTTTTTTAAATTTTTTAAATGTTTTATTTATTTCTAGGAGAGAGAGAGAGAGACAGCATGAGCAGGGGAGGGTCAGAGAGAGAGGGAGTCACAGACCGAAACAGGCTCCAGGCTCTGAGCTGGCTGTCAGCACAGAGCCCGATGCGGGGCCCGAACCCACGAACCGCGAGATCATGACCCAAGCGAAAGTCAGACGCTCAACCGACTAAGCCATCCAGGCGCCCCAAGCATCTAACTCTTGATTTCAGCTCAGGCCACCATCTCACGGTTGGTGGGTTCAAGCCCCACACCTGGCTCTGTGCTGTATCAAAGCCTGCTTGGGATTCTCTTTCCTTCTCTCTCTGCCCTTCCCCTGCTCGCTCGCTGTCTCTCTGTCCCTCTCTCTCTCTCAAAATAAATTAAAGAAATATTTGTTTTAATTCCCTGGAAAGGTGCTTTAAAAAATGCTAAGAGTGGCCTCCCTCTGGGGACAGGCACCCAGAGGTGGGGACTGGGTGGAGGGAAGACTTCATTATCATCCTTTTTTAATCTTGAATTCTTCAAGTATGTATGTGCCTATACTACCCTTTGAAGTAAACATTTAAAACAACTGAAATATGGATTCACATAGAAAATGACTAAATTGTGGGACACCTGGGTGGCTCAATTTGTTAAAAGTCTGACTCTTGATCTCAGCTCAAGTTCAAGTTGATCACAGTTTGCGAGTTCAAGCCCCGCAGTGGGCTCTGCGCTGACCATGCGGAGCCTGCTTGAGATTCTCTCTCTTCCTCTCTCAACCTCTAAATAAATAAACATAAAAAAAAAAAGAATTAAAAAAATGACGGACTCGTGACAGTTTCCCAGAAGGACAGAGGGAACGTAAGCGCTGGTGACTCTCATGTGCCTTGCTCACTGTGGGGGGTCCAGTCCTACAACAGCGTCTGGCACATGGTAGGCACGGAATAAATATTTACGAAAGCAGCAAAGGGCTGGTCCAGCCATCCTGTGATCAACCCACGGAAGTTTAATTTCACGCCCTCTCTAGAGAGGCAGCCAGGGAGCTGTGTGTCTGCTGTTCAAGGCTTCACTACGCCCTGAGGTCGTTTGCAAGAAGTAGCTGAAGCCTTGGGAGCGGATTTATCATGGAGAGAGAGAGGAGGGCAAGGTGCTTTCCCCGGCGGGGGGCACATAGGGACAGGGTGGAAACAGACAAATGGAGGTGGCCAGGGGAGCGTGTGCCCTCGAGATCAAGGACTAGAGCTTCAGGAAGGACCGATGGCCGACAGCGTCCAGATACTCAACCAAGACAACCCTGTGGGTTTTCAAAGGACGGCATGACTATTAGTCTTTCTGGGAGGGAAGGGTGCCTTCTCTCTAGAACACCCTGCTAGCATTTGGGGACACTGCCTTGCAAAGGCAGGCTTTGGTGGGAAAGTTCTTACCCCACACCATTTGTTTTACATCTTATTTTTGTTAATGTCTTATTTATTTTTGAGAGAGAGACAGCGTGAGCAGGGGAGAGGCAGAGAGAGAGGGAGACACAGAATCTGAAGCAGCTCCAGGCTCTGAGCTGTCAGCACAGAGCCCGATGCGGGGCTCGAACCCACGGACCGTGAGATCATGACCTGAGCCAAGGTCAGATGCTCAACCCACGGAGCCCCCCAGGCGCCCTGCCCCCACACCGTTTCCCAGGTTAATAGTAACCACTGCTCGACCTGGTCCCCCTAGGTCCTGACTTGGGTGCTCGTGGGGCCAGACTGACCCTCGGGTTTTGTGCTTTGTTGTCAGAATGCGGTTTCCAAGTACGGCGCTCAGTTCCAAGGCAACGCCCAGCACGACGCCTTGGAGTTTCTGCTCTGGCTCCTGGACCGTGTGCACGAGGACTTGGAAGGCTCCTCCCGGGGCCCCGCGGCCGAGAAGGTTGGTCACTCTTTATCGTATTTGACAGAGTGCGAGTGGGGGAGGGGCGGAGAGCGAGGGAGACGGAGAATCAAAGCAGCTCCAGGCTCTGAGCTGTCAGCACAGAGCCCGACGCGGGGCTCGAACCCACGAGCGGTGAGACCGTGACCTGAGCTGACTTTGGATGCTCAACTGACAGAGCCCCCCAGGCGCCCCAGGTTGGTCAGTCCTGAAACACCACGTCGTATTTCTTTTTCTTTTTCTCCCGTGAATATTGGCTCGATCGTGAAATTCGGTTTCAGAGACTCCTGTGTCCGCAGTGCTGCTGGTCATAGGCACGGGATTTCCACCCACTGCTGGGTTTCTCGCCCTCTCTAGTCCTGGGGAGCTAGTGAGTGGGGTTTCCCTTCGTTTTAAAGTTTGGAAAATCTTGGGGCGCCCCGGTGGCTCGGTCCGGTAAGCGTCTGGCTCAGGTCATGATCTCATGGTCTGTGAGATCAAGCCCCGCATCAGGCTCTTCCCTGGCAACACAGAGCCTGCTTGGGATTCTCTCTCTCCCTCTGTCTATGCGTCCCAGCCCGTCCCCTGCTTGCTCTCTATCTCCCTCAAAAATCAGTAAGTAAACATTAAAACAAAAGTCAAAGTGATGAAGTCATTGTGACACGAGTGAGCAAAGTTATTTTTTTTTTAATGTTTTAAAGTGTTTATTTATTTTTGAGAGAGAGAGAGAGAGAGACAGTGTGAGTGGGGGAGGGGAAGAGAGAAAGACAGACACACAGGATCTGAAGCAGGCTCCGGGCTCTGAGCTGTGAGCACAGAGCCCGATGTGGGGCTCAAACTCTTGAGCCACAAGACTGTGATCTGACCTAAAGTCAGATGCTTAACCGACTGAGCCACCCCCAGGCGCCCCATGTGCCTTTCTCTTTTAAAACGATGAGTTGGAACTTTAAGAAAAGCGGCCATAACCATCAATGTCTCAAATAAGATTAGAGCTGTGTTAAACAGTGTAATGTAATTAAAAGCTAAGAGTTGGTCAGAGCTACAATATCAGTCCCCTCTGCTGAGGACAGCAGGGAACAAGCGAAGTGGTGACTGTACCATGCTCCTCTCCATCACGTCTTGGGAGCATGATATGCTGTCTGAGTGACTTGTCATTGATGGAATGCTGCGAGGGTTATTATGTCCTTTTCATATACAAGTAAACCAAGAATCAGAGAGGTTGAGTAAGCTTCCCAAAGCAGCACAGCTAAAGAAGGGATGGAGTCAGGGTTCAAGTACGAGAAGGTCCGCCTTCCAAGCCTGTGTTCTTTTTTTTTTTTCTTTTTAATATTTTTATTTATTTCTAGGAGAGAGAGAGAGACAGCGTGAGCAGGGGAGGGTCAGAGAGAGAGGGAGATACAGACTCTGAAACAGGCTCCAGGCTCTGAGCTGGCAGTCAGCACAGAGCCCGACGTGGGGCTCGAACCCACGAACCGCGAGATCATGACCTAAGCGAAAGTCAGACGCTTAACCGACTAAGCCACCCAGGCGCCCCTAAAGCCTGTGTTCTTTAACAGAAGCCACCCCAGTCACCCCTGAAACACATAAATGTAACAAAGCAAAAACCTCACCACCACAAAACCTAGGAGGATCACACACTCAAAAGCTACGGTGTTTTGGGGGATTGTGTTTCTGGGTTGTGTTTCTTCTTTCACACACAGAGATTTTCTGTTCATCTTATTCAGACCCTTGTAGTTGCAAATGACAGGAATTTAACTGGATCCAGCTTAAGGAAAGGGCATTTATTGGTTTTATACATGCCAATGACAAGTTCTAAACTTGTGATCCAAGGCTTGAACCAGCTTCAGGTAAGGCTGGATCCAGGGACTCAGATGATGTCCCTGGGTCTCTGGCTGTGTCTTGTTGGCTTCCTTCTCATGCTGGCTCACTCTCATGGTGGCAAGAGGGCCACACAGTCTTTAAAGATTCAGAAAAAGAAAAACAACGAAACCTCAGGGAAGGGTCTGATTGTCCCAGGGAAGGGTCTGATTGTCCCAGTGCGGTTCACATGTCCTTTGCTGGGCAGGTGGCCAGCAGAGTGACACATTGCGAGTGGGCACACCCGGGCTGCATGCCCATTGCGGGGATGAGCTCCGCCCAAATCACGTGGCCAAGGAGCGCTTTTAGAGACTTGAGCTGGTCGTTTCTGCAAAGACTTAATACTGAGACCCCTGAGCAGAAAAACCTCTCCACGGCGTAGTCCACAATCTTAGAGAGAACACGTCTTGAAATCAGAATGCTATATTAAAAAAGAAAAAAATACTGGGTATTGAATATTTGTTCGTGTCCCGCATCGAACTCGATGCCCTTCATGCTCATTTCGCTACCGACGCGGAAGAGCCATTCACTGAGCTCCCGAGTGGTTGAATCGGTTACGTAGCTGTCCGGCTCTAGGGTTTGTAAGGATCGCTCTGGTTTTATAGTGAATGAAGACGTAGGTTAAGCTGCCCAAGGTCACCCAAGTTTTACTTGGGGGCCGTAGCACGAACTCGAGTCTGTTTCAAAGTGCACTGGATGGATCCCTTTCTTATCCCGGCGTCTCGTGCCTTCTCGGTTCCCCAGCAGAGATGAGCCGAGGCTGCAGGACCGGCTTCCTTCTGGCTGCACAGGGAAGGCGTCTTGTTCTTCAGTGTTTCCCCGCTCCCTGCCCCCTCCCTGGCGGCTCTTCCTCTGGAAAGTACGGCTAGACAGCCTCCGAACTGCCTTTCAGGCTCCCCCTCTTCTGGCCTTTGATGGTTGGAAAAGGCACTGGGCTTAAGGGCGGAGGAGATCCCAGAGAGGTTAAGTAACTTGCCCCGAGCCACACAGCAAGTCCGTAGGAGAGTCAGCATGTCTGTGTCTAGGAAACGTGACCCTAGAGGAGGGTTTGTCGACCTCCGCACGTTCGGGAGCCAGATAATTCCTTGCTGTGGGGGCTGCCCTGTGCGATGTGGCCTTCGTAAGCATCCCTCCCCACAGGTTGTGACGCACAATGAAAGATTTCCCTAGATACCGCCAAATGTCACCTGGGGGTGGGGGTGGGGGCAAAAGCCCCTGCTGATTGAGACCCACCAATCCGGAACCTTTGTTCCCAAGCACGTGCACCGCCCCCCACCCCCTCCCGCAGCCCTTTCTTTAAGGTAACCGTCTGGTTTCTTTAAGCCAATAATTCCTTCTACCAACTTCAAGACCCACGTAAAAGCAGCCAAGCAGTTGGGCTACCAGTTTCCGGTGCGTCCTGCGGTGTGTCTACTCGCCGAAGCCAGAGACATCTTTCGAGAGAGGACCAGAGATCCCCGTGCCCTCCTTAAATTTCTCCGGTGGCTTCCACAGTCTGGACTTCTCGCCGGGCCTGCCCTCCACTTAGCCTGACTCCAGGACCCTCTCTGACCTGTTCTGGGCCACCCCGGCTGCTTTCTTTTTCTTTAATGGGCATTTAGGACTCAGGCAAGAATAGTTGGCCAGAGAGAGGAGTTTTCCCGGCTCTTCACTTGACCTGATTGAGACCAGAAAAGATCTTTCTTCTCTACCTGGGGTGGAAACCCCTCCTGAAATTTGCTCTCTCGGAAAATTGGGCTGCCTGTGGAGGCCCGGCTGGGGACGCTTGAGGGTCAAGAGCACGCTGACACGTAACTTCATTTCCCCTCTTCCAAGAAGAGGGAACGCAGCAATTTTTTTTTTTTCTTTTTGAGGTTATTTCTGTTTGGAGACCTGGGAGGGCCGTAGAAGCTAGGTTTATTTGAAACCGGAATACAAAACATAGGGACCGCTTTCTTCTCCGTCATCAGAATGATTCCCAAATGTTTTCATCTGGCGCAAAGGGCATATTTTTACCATCCTGTGGACATTCTCACCGAGGCCATCTTTTTGGAGGTCTGTTTCATAGCCAGTCTTGCAGAATTAAGAAAGGCACGGGGCGAGGAAAAGGACCAGGGAGGCACCATTAATTAAGCACCTACTATGCACCACGCAGGACATGCACATCAGGTTTTTTATTGGAATGGTGGCATCGTGAGATGAGGTGGATGTGATGCTCCTTCGAGGCGCAGAGCGAGGCTCAGAGACAGGTCCAGGGTCGCTTGGTTAGCAGAGCGGAGCCAGCCTGCTCTGTCCCTCCAGGTCTTCGCTTTGCGAACGACTCTGCCGCCCCCCAGCCCAGCCTCGCTCAGGACCGGACCCCACCCTGGGCGATCCTGCCCGCCACCCTCGCGGCGAGCCCTGGAATCCCCTCCACGCAGAAGCACTTGTATCGTGGTGAGGTCTCTGGCTGCAAGTAGCTACCAAGGGCCAGGCTCCGTGCTCCAGAAGGGTGCTGTGGCCAAGGAAGCAGGCATCCATCCTGCGCAGCCACAATCACGAGGGTCTCCCCCTCCTCCCGGCCCCTCACTGCTGCCTGTGAGAGGTCTCTGCTTGCATGTTGCTCACCTCGAACTCGGCGTGCCCTTCCCTGACCCACTTCTCCCTGCGCTCTTCTCTCTTCTGTTAATGGAGCAGGCATTCTCCAGGCACCGAGGGAAGCTTGGACTTGCCCAGGTTGACCCCCTCCCCGCTTCTCCGCTTCCCCATCGAGCGCTCAGTTACGAGCTGTGCGCACAGGGCATCTTGATTCCATCCCTCTGTTTCGTTTTCAGGGCTCCACCCCATTTGCCCTGTGGCGCCCCGGGCCCTCGGGGGCTCCGGCTCGGTGTCCTTACTGCAGACCTGCCCTCCTTTGTCCTGTGCTCGGCCGGCCGGGAGGTCCAAGCATCTCTCTGCAGCTACCATGCAGGCTCAAAGCCGGCCGGACACTCCCTGACGTCACCACCACTGAGTCCCGGCTCGGTGTTCTACACACGTTAACACTTTCACTCTCAAAGCATCCCCGTCAGGTCGGTTCTGCCGTTCATCGCCCCGGTATAGAAGTTGGGAAATCTTGGAGCAAAGGGGTTAAGCAGCTTACTTAGCTGGAAGTCAGAGGCTCAACCCACTGATCCACCCAGGCGCTCCCTGGAGGCTAATTCTTAATCCTGCCTGTGTGCTGTTCACCCAACGGGGAGTCCTCTTTTAGGGCATTGAAGGCCCCACCCAACGTGGCACCAGACTCCCCCTGCAGCCCTGTTTTCCGGCTTCCCTTTGCACATCCCGTGTGCTGGGCCACAGGGCAAATACGAATGACCACTCTGAGCACTTGCCCCAATATTTTATTACGGAACATTTCATGCATATGGAGAAATTGGATTCATCATCCAGTGAAGAGCTCATATCCACCACCTAGGCTTTACCATTTACATTTTCCTAGAATTGCTTTATCGTGTATTTATCCATCTGTCTACTCATCAGCCCGTCTATTTTTTCCTCCCCTTTTTCTCGATGCATTTAAAAATTTTTTAATGTTTATTTTTAAGAGAGACAGAGTGTGGGGAAAAAAAAAAAGAGTGTGAGCAGAGGAGGTGCAGAGAGAGGGAGACACAGAATCGGAAGCAGGCTCCAGGCTCCGAGCTGTCAGCACAGAGCCCGACGCGGGGCTCGAACCCATGAACCGCGAGATCATGACCTGAGCCAAAGTGGGACGCTTAACCGACTGAGCCACCCAGGCGCCCCTTGATGCATTTGAAATTAAATTTCGGACACTGGCATACTTCATTCCAAACACTTCACACGTGTTCCTTTTTCCTCTGCTCTTCAAATATGCTGGGCTTAGGGCCTGGGGTGAGGGGGCCACAAGCCGTGATTCTTCAGCCACCAGAGGCCGTGAGAGCAAAGGATACATTCCGTAGAGCCTCAGCAGGGAGCGGGGCCTTGCTGACCTCGATCTGTGGCCCGGGGATGCTGATTTCGGCTGTCAGGTCTCCAGAACTGAGAGAGAGTCCATCTCTGCCGTTTTATTTTATTTTATTTTTTTAATATTTTTATTTATTTCTAGGAGAGAGAGAGAGAGAGACAGCGTGAGCAGGGGACGGTCAGAGAGAGAGGGAGTCACAGGCTCCAGGCTCTGAGCTGGCGGTCAGCACAGAGCCCTACGCGGGGCTCGAACCCACGAACCGCGAGATCATGACCTAAGCGAAAGTCGGACGCTTAACTGACTAAGCCACCCAGGCGCCCCAGATCTCTGCCGTTTTAAGCCCGCAGAGTGAGAATTTGCTCCTGCAGCACAGGAAGCGAACACATCAGGGGGTGCACAGAGGGGTGATGTGGGGTGAAGGGAGCTTACGCGTGATTCCAGGGCCTGAAGCCTGGCTTGTCTGGTGCTCGCGGGAAGCCTAGGTCCTGGGGAGATGTAGACGGGCCGGTTTAGCAGCTGGATGACGGCAGATGTGGTGTGGACGTGTTTGGAGCAGTGGCAGCACGCGCAGTGAAAGGTGCAGGAGGTGTAGATCCCGGGCCCAGCAGGATGGAGAGGAGAACGGGGCAGCGGCTCCAGAGGTCAGAGCCGAGGCTGGCTGAGCGGGTGCGAGCTCCCAGCCCTCCTGCCTGGGCTCTGCTCCTACAGCACTTCTGTGTGTGAGGGTCTTTGGGGGGTCCGGAGGCTGAAGGAGCAGTAAATTTGCAGGGGGTTCCCCAGAAGGTTCCGGTCCTGCGGGGTCCTGGCCCAGGAAGGGATGATGTGGGCCCAGGAGGAGGCCGGGGCTCCCTGGTCTGTGCCTAATCTTGCTTCCTTCCCTCATTTCTTTGCAGCCTCAGCCGGAAGTCAGCAAAACCCCTGAGCACCTCCTGTCCCCATCGGCTCAGCTTCCCCATGGCCAAAGCTTTGTGCAAAGCCACTTCCAAGCACAGTATAGGTAAGAATCTAGCTAAGGGTGGGGCGTGCTTAGCACGGATCGCCCCAGCTGAGCTGCTGGTAGCTGGTCTCCCGTCGCCACGCTGCCCTGAGATAAACAGCAGACACCCCAAACACCCTTCTCTCTCCCATTATAAACCCCGGGTAACCTCTCACCCCTTATCGTCCCCGGCCGTTAGGATTTCTTCTTTCCCGTCTTGCTGGCTCCTGGGCCTCCCATCTCCTCCTGAAGGGGCCTCTAACACAGTGCAAACGTGGAGGCCGGGGTTTCGCCAGGAGGCGATCACTGAGAGGTTGTTCAGTTTACCGAGTAATTTCAAGGTCGAGATTTCCCACCAGCGTGGAGGATGTATATATATAATTACGCAGGCTTTGACTTCAGAAAAGTTCTCTTTGGGCTTTTATGTCTATGACAGTTGAGAGATTCATCTAAGGCAGCGTGTTTCCGAGTACTATAATGTTTTAGTGTAACACTGATCACAGTGAGGGGTCTAAAGGCGGGGGAGAACCCCCCCTTGGCTTCTTGGAGGAGGTGTGCCTTTCGACGAGGCTCCGAAGGCTGAATAGGATCGAATGAGCAGGAGCATACTCAGCATGAACGGACATGGGAATGAGCACGGTAATCAGGATGCAGGGGAAACCATCAATTATAGACAATCTCCTCTTGGTGACATGCTGCCCTTGGTCACTTAGCATATTGGGTACGCAAAAACGCTCCTAAGTGAGCCCACGTTTTACTGCTGTCCATGAAGTAAGGCCCCTTTATTTCCCGAGAGGTGTGGTGTGCGTGCTGGAGGGAACCTAGATTTCATTTCTGGCCATGAAAGCTACTTGCAGGGTGTCTGCCTTATTTATCTTCAGGTGCCCAGAGCCGAGGCTGCTTGAAACACCAATGAGAGAGGAGGGGAAAGAATGGCTAGAAGGAGGGGAAGGGGAGGGGAAGGCCAGGGTGGGTTAGACTGCGGGGGAGGGATGCCAGGGATTGCCACCAGGTACCGCTCCTCGGGGTCTTTATACAACCGATTCCCTTATTTCTCAGCTCCCACCCTCTTCCTCTCTTGCGCACGCATGCTCTCTTTCTTCCCTTCTTTCAAATATCTGAGAGTGTGCCGGTGTGCGTCGTCCGCTGGTTACAGCGAGGAGCCTCACTCCTTGGCCACGAGCGAGAAGTCCCAACCAGAGACCCCACGTGCCCTCTAGAAGAGTCGATTGCAGACATGCCCTAGCTGTTTGCTGTTGAACCCGCTCCGAGCCATTTCCCTCTCGGTGCAGGACTTGCGCTGTGAACCGGGCGCAGCCCCTGTTCTCAAGAAGCTCACGTTCGGCTGGGGGAGTTGTTGGGTAACGTGCACACGTCACCTTGTTACCGCTATTGCGATAGCGATAACTGAAATGATAAGAGGAAGCTTGGGATGTGGGGGGAGGCAGCCAGCTGTAGATAAGGCGATCAGAAAGGTCTGGGAAGGCTTCTCAATAGAGGGGACATTTGAGCTGAGAACCTAGTGACAGTGAGTCAGCCATTCACATATCTGAGGACAAGGTCATCCAGGCCTGGGGTTGGAATGACGTTGACACATCAAGGGAGAGAAAGGCGAGGGAGGAGCCAGGTAGGGAGGGGTGGGAGGGGACGTGTCCCAGGTGTCCTGTCCATGTGTGGGCTTTCGTCTGAACGGCACAGGAAGCCACTGCAAAATTTGAAGCCGGGTGTGGTCCACTTCTGAATTAGCACATGCTGGGGGCTTGGGGGGCCGGAGGGAGTCAGGGCCGGTAGCTGGAGCGGCAGGGACCCCCCGATGGGGGGGGTCGGAGAGGAGTGGATGGGCTGGCTCGAGTTCTGGATGTAGACTCAATAGGTCTTGACTCTGAGGGTGCAAGATGGAGGGACTGAGAGAAAGGTAGGAATCTAGGGCGCCTCCTGGGTTTCTATGGGGTGTTGTACCCGGCAGGTGCTTTGAGATGCACATTACAGGAGTGAAAGGAGAAGAGTCTTGTTTTCTTTATGCCCCTCTCTCCTCCTACCCTGCTTGCAGACCTCCCGTGGGCACTGTCCCCCCACCAGCCACTTCTGCAGTCTCTGCGGACACCCTCTGAGTGCCCTCCAGGGTAACTCCGTTCCGGACACTGTTTACCTGGACACAGCGTCAGGTCCCACAGCTTAAGAGCTCAGTCCCATGAGACTGCCCCCTACCAGACCGCAGCCCCCCGCGAGTCCCAAGCCATCACCTGTGTTCCTGGCTGGCCGGCTACAGACCAGAGGCCCCCAGGACCCATGCCTCACGCTCAGCCACTTGCTAGAGCTGCTCACAGGACTCAGGCGAACAGTTGACTCGCTAGATCAGCAACTGCTTATAAAAGGATACAACTCCGAACAGCCAGATGGAAGAGAGGCAAGGTGTGTGGGAGGGGGTGCAGGGTGTCCGTGCCCTCTCAGGGTGCGCCACCCCCCAGCACCCCCACGTGTTCACCAGCCGCGAGTCTCTCCAAACCTCTCCTGCCAGCGTTTTTCTATAGGTGTGTGTGATTGATTACCTTGGTGTGATTGATTACACCATTGCTCCCTAGCGATTAATTCAACCTCTGGTCCCCTTTTCCTCCACTCGAGGTGGGGGTGGGGGGCAGAGCTGAAACTTCCAACTCTTCCCCCCCCCCAACTGTTTCCCCTGGCAACCAGCCCCCGCCCTCAGGGACCTGGGGCTATCCCCCAAAACCCCTCATTAACATAACAGGTGTGGTTGAAAGGGACTTGTCATGAATAACAAAAGACGGACCTTTTGCCTTTCTGACTCCATCTGTTAGGTAATTCCAAGAGGAATTACCTCTTGAGGAGCTCTGTGCCAGGAACTAGGTCCAAAACCAAGTATATATTTTCTTATTATAAATCACGGAATCACACGGCCTCTGATTGGCTTGGGATGAGTCAGGGCAGGATTCCTCAGCAACTGAGGTTTAAGCCGATCAGATATGTTAAAGACTGCAAGTGCTCTCTGGGTAAATTACTCTAGGACGATGAGTAAGAAGTGAGGTGTTCAAGCTAAAAAAAAAAAAAAAAAGTACCGGTGACAGCCAAAAATACGTGCGTTGTACCAGATAGTCTGTAGTCAAGAAAAAACACAGTCAGGGATGCCGGTCTAGGTGAGGGCTTGAACTCTGGGAGGCGATTTTTGGCAGTGGGCAGTGGGCACCAGCCCCAAGCCAGTGCTGGTCCCTGGGGTCCTGGGCACCCTGCACCCTTCCTCTCCACCAGGGAGGGCTTGCCGGGGATGGGAAGTTGCCGTGATTCCAGCCTTCTTCATGAAGTTAAAAGCTGGAGGATTTATTGTGTGTTAATTCAGAGACGCCTGTTCGGTGAGGTTCTCCCTTCCTTTTTTAGGGTGTTGGGTTTTCGACTTTGGCTGCAGAAGGAGGGACAGCATCAGGATGCTGGAGGTTACGGGCTACAGGGAAATGATCGGTTATTCCACATGGTTCAAACCACAACCTAAGAACCTCTGTGAACTTCATAACCACGATTGCTGCCTTGTTGGGAGTTCTGGCTGCAAGAGGGAAGCCGTGGGTGTGCACCTGCCCGGGTGTGCACCTGCCCGGGTGTGCACCTGCCCGGGTGTGCGCGCGCACATGCGCGCTTGTGTCTATGCGCATGCGCACCTGCGTGTATTCATTTCTTCACAGAAAAGTGAAATCTAGTCCCCATGGCAGGCAGCATTTCCCGTATGGCCGAGCGTTTTTTGAAGGCTTTCTCACAGCAGATCTCAGCGAGGTGACGTCTTTCTTGGGTGTCCTCAGATTCATCATTGCTGGTGGAGACATCAGGGCCTGTGTCCTGGGAGCAGCTGGCGCAGGCGTCTGAGGGGAGGGGGTGTGTCTTTGGCCTCAGGGAGGTCGGGGTAGGGCCTCCTGGGGGGGGGCGGGGCTCCCTTGTGAGCATTTGTCCCCTGGCGGAAAGCGAAGCGCAGTCCTGAGTCTCCTGTGCAGCTCACACGGTTGGATTTTGTATCAGAAGCAATTTGATGGAGTTTATGACACAAAATATATGGATATATGGGAAGGGGCTGGGGGGTGGGGGGGGGAGGTGAGGGAAACAAACCACAAGAGACTGCTTTTTTAAAATGTTTATTCTTAAGAGAGAGAGAGCAAGCAGGGGAGGGACAGAGAGAGAGAGAGAAAGGGAGACACAGTATCCGAAGCAGCCCCAGGCTTGGAGCTGTCAGCACAGAGCCTGACGTGGGGCTCGAACTCATGAACCGTGAGATCATGACCTGAGCCGGGGTCCGAGGCGTAACTGACTGAGGCACCCAGGCGCCTCCAGAGACTCTTAAGGACAGAGAACAAACTGAGGGTTGATGGAGGGAGGTGAGGGGTGGAGTGGACCAGATGGGGGATGGGTATTAAGGAGGGCACTTGTTGGGATGAGCACTGGGTGTTATATGTAAGTGATGAATCACTGGGTGTACTCCTGAGGGAGCCCGGAAGGGCAGCAGGGTGGCTTCCTGCCCCTCCCCTCCATCCTGTGCGAGCCTGGGGGACAATAGACAGGGCTGCGATTGATCTGCAGGGATGGTGAGGATGGACAGTCTGGAAGGTAGGTCTCCCGAGGCCACGTGTGGGGGTGGCTAAAGCCCAGACGCCCAGAGTCTTTTCTCTCCCTGGCCTGTGGGTCCCATTCACTCTGCCGTCATTGCTCATCTTTGAAAAACAGGTGTACTACACATCCTTTCTGTAGTCTGTTCTGAAGACCATATGTTTTGCTTAGCTTAGCTTTTGTGGGCTGAGCACAATGGATAACTCAAAGAAAAATCTCCCTTATCATGTGTTTACGTGCAAAAACGGGAATTTGGAATTTTCCCAGTGACAAAAATTCATCCTCCGGGCTTATATTAAATCTAGGTACATGGTGGGTAAAGGTAGGAGAAGGATCCAGAGAAACGGTGGCAGAGGGGACCCCACAAACGCCAGGTCCCCCTTCTGTCTGGAGCTCGATGCCTGATACACACCGTTTTTACCAAAATATTACCGTGGTTTCCCCAAAGGGGAATTTCCCAGAGTTACTGGGCATTAAATTCTCAGGTCTGTTTTCTGAAGTCATGGGTGGCGTGCTGCACCCTGGGACCCAGGAGAGCTGACCTGCTCTGGCCGGCTCTCTCAGGGCCACCTGGGCCAGCACCCTGAAATCCTCAGGCTTTCTTGCTTGTCTCTGGTTTTTCCCATTTGGTCTCCTCCCAAGGAAACTATTCCAGCTGGGCTGGTGCTCTCCGCGGGGACTCGGGAAGCCTGCCCGTGACCCCAGCCCCGGCTTCCCTGCTGACCAGTGTAAGAACACAGCCGGCAGCTGGGTGGTGTTCCTTGTTCCCGGGGAAGAAGGCAGCGTAGATTTTTAGGACACGGCACACAGCATACGGAAACCCCTTACGTCTTGGAAGCATCCAGAAATCTCTTATGATACGTCGTAGGATTAAGGAAATAAAACTGAAGTTTCTTAACCCGTGGGGAATATGAAAGTTGCACCTGACTTTCAGGGACCACACGCTTAAGTAAAGGAGTGCTAAGTTTGAAAGAGTTTTAAGAATATAAGTAAACTGTGTGTATGACTTCTCTGAAACAATTTTTTTTAACATCTATTCATTTTTGAGACACAGCGCGTGAGTGGGGGTGGGGCAGACAGATAGGGAGACACAGAATCCACGAAGCAGGCTCCAGGCTCAGAGCTGTCAGCACAGAGCCCAATCGATGCAGGGCTTGAACTCACGATCTGTGAGATTATGACATGAGCTGAAGTCGGGCGCTTAACCGACGGAGACACCCAGGCGCCCCCGAACTTCTCTGAAACAATTGATGTCCCTCATTCACTTATACAATCGACAGCAGGAACAGTGATGAGCATATACTCTGGAGCCTGAGCCTCGCTCTGCCGCTTAAGGGCTGTGTGTCCTTGGGACTGTTGCTTAACTTCTCTGTGCTTAGTCTTCTCGTTTGCCAAATGGGAATAATAGTGGCAGCTATGGGTAGTGAGTTATATGCACAGCGGTCGGAACGGCACCCAATGCATAGTAAATGCTGTTTTAACATTAACTATTTTGCCATCAGCTGCTTTTTTCTGAGCTCTGTTTCCTCACTGGTTCGACCGGGAGGATGGACTTCTCCGTGGTTCCATGTCCTGGCCCAACACTAGTTTCACCTGGGAGAGCAGGTCACATCCTGATGCCTGAGCCTCTCTCCCTGCCCCCCCTTGAGACAGGACCCATGGGAAAAAGGCCGAGGCATTTGCGTTTTGAGGAAAGCTCCCTCCGTGGTTCTGGAGCACAGAGAGGCTGAGCACCTGGGGACGAGATGGTCTCAAGGTGCCTTCCAGCTTGCGAGCCAGCAGGAGGTCTCTCTCTTGGGCGGGGGGGGGGGGGGGGGGGGGGGGGGGGGGGGGGTTAGCGTCCTGTCCTGTCCTGTTCTGGGTGCACTAACGTGTGCCATTAGACCTTTTCCCCTTCTTTGGAAAGTTGAGGTGAAAGTCCCATAAAATAAAAACCATTTAAAAGTGTACAGTTTTGGGGCGCCTGGGTGGCTCAGTCAGTAAGCAGCCGACTTAACTGACTGAGCTCAGGTCATGATCTCACCGTTTGTGGGTTGGAGCCCCGCGTCTGGCTCTGTACTGACAGCTCGGAGCCTGGAGCCTGCTTCGGATTCTGTGTCTCCCTCTCCCTGCCCCTTCCCTACTTGCATGCTTTCTCTCTTTTAAGAGTAAATAAACATTAAAAAATTTGTTTAAAAAAGCGTACAGTTTCGCAGCATGGATGTTCACAGTGCTGTGTAACCACCACCTCTGTCTAGCTCCTAACCATGTCCATCTCTGCAAAGAAAACTGGGTACTGGTAAAGCCCTCCTCCCTGCCCTGGCATCCTCCAGTCTGCTTTCTGTCTCATAGCTTTACCTATTCTGGAATTATCCATTTAGCCACTGATGGACATTTGGGTAGTTTCTACCCTTTGGCCACTGTGAATAAAGCTGTGGTGAACATTTGTGCACAACATTTGTATGAACACCTGTTGTTTTATTTTTTTTAATGTTTTATTTTTTGAGAGACACAGACAGGCAGAGCATGAGCAGGGGAGGGGCAGAGAGAGAGGGAGACAGAATCTGAAGCAGGCTCCAGGCTCTGAGCTGTCCGCACAGTGTGAGACACAGGGCTCGAACTCATGAACCGCGAGTTCATGACCTGAGCTGAAGTCGGATGCTTGACCGAATGAGCCACCCAGGCGCCCCTGAATGCCTCTTTTAAACCCTTTTTGGGAATGTACGTAGGCGGGGAATTGCTGGATCATATGGTAATTCTATACTTCACTTTTTAAGGGTCTTCACAGCTGCGCGTGATTGACCTTGAAACTCTTGTTTCTGGCCCTCACAGATCATCCTTGACCTGTCCCCACTGCCTGAAACAGAGCAACACCTTCGATCCTTTCCTGTGCGTGTCACTACCCATCCCCTTGCGCCAAACGAGGTACGTGAACTTGACTCTCGTCCTTAGTTGCTCCTGGGTACCTTCTGCCTTGGCACCGCAGCTCTGTCTGTCTGGCTTCTCAGCCAGCGTCTCTCTAGAAAGCAGCCTGGCAGAGCTGGTGACGTTCGGTTATTGAATGTTGACGCAGTGAAAGGTTACCGTGTCCCTTCTTTAGCCGCAGATGGGACTCTCCTCGGCACTTCCGTCTGTCGGCACCGTAGCTGGGCTTTCGTCTTTGGCCCAGTGGGAAGATGGCACGGGTCAGTCACTACTTCCTGGCAGACCAGGGGCAAGCCTGAAAAAAGAAAGAAAGAAAGAAAGAAATCTGTCGCCCGCTGCTTCTCCCTGCTTTGCTTCCAAATCCTTTTTGTGAAGGTGTCGGAAGACGCTTTCTTTCAGGAGCAGAGAAGAAGGGAAGGGTTGGTGTCCAAGGAGAGGAGAAAAGCGGAGGGTGGGGTTCAGCAAGAGGCACGGTGGGCCCGGCTTTTAAAAGCAAGAGGCACAAAGTGCAGGCTTTCCAGAAGCCCCGGTCGTAGCCAGTGACCGCTCAGGCACCTGGCCAATGTCTGCATCCTGGAAGTTCGGTGAGCACTGCGTTAGCGGGAGAGGCTCGACCGTTTTATATAACAGATTTCAAAGTTCGTTTTTGCTTAGGGTGATCTGTTTAACAAACAGAGCCTGGAGATCACAGATCTGTACTGTGATTCGTAATCAAATGCTTTTTATTTTTAGCTAGCCAGAATAATTCCCAGCGGAGACCCCAGGAGCTTTGGCTCTCCGCCGCCACCTGGTGACGGTTTACCTAAAGTACAGTTGACTCAACCGTGAAGCAGAGATTAGCCTGTGTCGGACTTTGACCCATGTCAGTGGTGTTAGCGGTTCACGTCCGTCCTTTAAGGATGTGGGCCCCTTCGTATTTTCCAGATTCTTGAGCGTCACCTTGGCCTTTTCCTCGAAGAGCCAGCGGTTCCTGCGGGTTGGCCTGGCCGTGCCAATCCTCAGCACAGTGGCAACCCTGAGGAAGATGGTCGCAGAGGAAGGCGGTGTCCCTGCGGATGAGGTGGGACGGAATTGGACGGAATTGCACGGGGGGCCTGGTGGCTGATGACTGGAACGCTAACTGGGCCAGCCTACTAGGGCTGTTGAGGCTGATTTCTGGTTCCCAGGTGACTCCCTTGTGACTCATGATGAGCTGCACCATGTGAGCCACGTGGTCGTGATTATGATCTTAGTAACTGCAACCCCAGCCAACCCTCCATAGTGTTTCCCAAGAGCTGGGCGCCATTTTGTAAACCTCATTCGTAGCCGATTTCTTCCTCGTCACCTTGCGAAGTCAGTACCCCAGTTACCCTCCTTCTACCAAGTGAGCCAAGAGAGGTTAAGTGACCCGCCCAAGGTCACACAGCTGGTAAGCAGCTGACCCAGGATTTAAATGCAGGTGGTCTGACTTCAGAGCCTGCGACACCACTCTGTGCTTTCTCTCCTGAGAATGGAAACTGAAGGGGCGATAAGTGAGAAATGAGGAGCTACCGAGGATGTGTGAGAGAGAAGAGTTAGGGAACATGGATGGCTATGGATTTACTGTGACTTTGAGGGCAGAACTCCCTCAAACAGTGACTCCCATGAAAGGGCGGGGTGGAGGTGACAGTGGTCAGCCGCCATGTAGCATAACGGGAGGAGTTTGGGATAGGGTTCTTCTTAGGACTCGGTCAGTCTCTAGTTTTCTCACCTTGGACAAAGGAAGCAATTGGTCCTCTGTGTCTTCAGCTGTAAAATGCAAACTTTACATTTCCCCGATGACCCCCGTGGCATTTTTTTTCAAATTAAAAAACAAAAGAAGTGGTTTAGCCTTTCTGTTTAGGAATAACGCACATACAGTAAAGGGTGCGTACCTTGAGGTTATAGTTTGTTGAGTTTTTATGTGCACATCCATCCGTGTAACCTCTGAGGTTACTCACTCTGTGGGCCCCTTCCTGCGTCCACCCAATCACTGCCTCTGGTCTCGTCAACATTTTCATGGGGATATCGAGCGGGGGAAAGTGTGTATCTTGCTTGGTGAACTCGAAGTGCTCTTTGTGTATATATTGAGAGAGAATAGGATGGGGGTGAGAGTTTGGGGAGAAAAATCACAGGGGGAAAAAATACCAAAAGGGGATGTCTGTGAGGTGCACTTTGCACAATTAAGAGTAAAAGAATTGTCAGGGATTTGAGAAGCGCGGTGTGTTTGTTTAGGAGGTAGGAATCCCTTGGGATTCCTAAGTGTACATGTGGGCATTTTGATGGGGACTTAAAATCTGTTTTGATATTTTAACGGGTGGCTTTCTTCCCCTCACATTATCTGTGATCATGGATATATTTGGATTTATTTGTATTCTCTTATTTTATGCTTTCTGTTGACCCTGATTTTTCTGTGTCCTTCCCCTCTCCTTTACTGCTTCTTTTCTATTGAGCAATTTTTATTACATTTCTTCTGGTTTGGAACATAAGTGTTATATTTCTATGCTTATTTAGTGGTTATCCTTAAAATGCCCACATGCATAATTAGCAACGTCTTATGTGATAAATCTTCCCAAACAACGCAAGGATATTGGTGTGCTTGAACCTCTCTTCACCTTTTTATTGTTGTGGATGGATATTATTGTCCAGTATTTTTTAAATGTTTATTTATTTATTTTGAGAGGGAAAGAAAGCATGAGTGCATGAGCGGAGGAGGGTCAGAGAGAGAGAGGGAGAGAGAATCCCAAGCAGGGATTCAGTGTGAAGCCCAGCACAGGGCTCGATTCCCTGACTATGAGATCATCACCTGAGCCAGTATCAAGAGTCCAACGCTCAACAGACTGAGCCACCCAGGCACTCCCTGATTGTCTGGTATTTTAATCTCTCCTCCCCTTTCTCCTGGTTGTAGAAATAGTACTAGTTGTTATTATTATGGATTTATATAGTCAGCGCATGTTTACATTTACTAATGTCTACCATTTTCTTTGCCTCATCATTTCTTCTTAAAACTCAAGATTTTTCTGGATTCTGTTTATTTGTTTGAATCCTGAAATGTGTCTCTTACAAGAGAATCTCCCAGCTAGTGTGCCTTGAATGGGTTAGATGTATTGAGATGTTGATCACTTCAGCCCTTGAAGTGACAGGGCCCTCAAGGTGGGTCACCCCTGTCTTCTTTGCTACAAGACCAACTTCTGCTTACCCCAGTGTTCCATAAAAATAGGTTCCACATATACCATGATGTGAAAAAAGTTGGCAAAACTACTTAGAAGTTCTTTCACTGGTGATCTATTAACATTGAATAATCTTAACTTTTAAACTGAAGAGAGCTTTATTTCATTGTCATTGCTTATATGATAGTTTAGCTGGGTATAAAATTTTTAAAAAATGCACACCCCCCCCCCAATTTTCTTTCCCCATCTCTACCCTCAGAACTTTGATATTCTATTGTTGCCATTGAGATATCTGTGGTCAATCTAACTGTTATACCTATTCTGTTTTATTATGAAAAATAAGTAGTGTTTTTCACCTAGAAGGGAGTTTCCTCTAGGGTAAAAGAGATGTTTGAGACTTTCAGTCACTTTTAGATTTCTTGTTTAAGTTTCCTTTGAGAAATCAAGAGGTAAAATTATCTTTGTTATTCTAGGTAATCTTGGTTGAACTATGTCCCAATGGATTCCAGCGGTCTTTCTTTGATGAAGAAGACCTGAATACCATTGCAGAGGGAGATAATGTGTATGCCTTCCATGCTCCTCCACCACCTAGCCAGGAGATGCTCTCAGGTGCGATAATGCTTTGCATAACTGTATTTGGATATTATAAGTTATACATTTGAGAGTGTACTCCTTGCGTGCTAAGGCATAAGGTGTTTAGTTTTTTAATTTGGACCTCTGATATTTGGTGTACAGATGGCTGATTGTTAAAAATTATCTAATCAGGGGTTCTCAAAACCTTGGTGAATATCAGCATCGTGGAAAGCTTGTTAAGGCAGAGGTGTGGGTCCTACATGCAGAGTTGCTGGCTGAGTAGGTCTGGGGCGGGACCCTAGAACTTGTCTATCTAACAGGTTCCCAAGGGTGCCACTGGTGCTGGACCTGGGACCACCCTTTGAGAGTCACTGTTCAGAATAGGTGCTGGGGTGCTCTTTGTCTTTAGGACTCTTGTAGTTCAAGGCCTGTGCTTGCTTGAAGTAAAATCTTTGCAGATTGGAGCAGTAGATGGCCAAAGAGGTTATTAAATGACTTTTGTTAACAACCCCGCTTCCTGATGCTTGCTTTTCCTGAACTTTGGACTGGCCTAGAAGGTCAGTATCTGACAGTCTTTCATGGCATTTCAGTTTACATTCTGGCCCAATTAGCTGGTCCAGAGGGCCCATATTTGGAGGACCCTGTGCCAGTGTTGCCGTATAGCTCAGGTGAAGCCTGTGCCCTTGGTCATAACCTCAGCCAGCCTAGGTGACAGGCCATGTGAACCAGGGGTCTGGTGTCTCTGAGTCAACAGGGAGTCCCTGCACCTGGAATCCAGAACAGGCCACTGGACCGGCCCCGATTGTGTTATAGTTCAACGAAAAGGCCTTCATTTTAGGTTCAGTCAAAGATAACGTAACACACCTGTGCTTTGAAAGTCAAATGTTCAGAACAGATTGGAAATTGAAGATTGTCTAATTCTTCCACATTCTCAAGGCTGAAGATTCTTACCTTCTATGTGTTCTTCTTTTGTTGGCTGAGAAAGCCAGAGCCAACTCATGGCTCTCTGATCAAGGCATAAAAGCAGCCCGAATCATTTTGGAGTGTTTTTCAGATTGGCTTTGGGAAGCATTCATTAAGACCCCTGCCCACTTTTTAATATTAGTGGCTGAATACAATGGCACATTCACTACCATGTATATGACCTTCCTACCAGGTACCTGACAGCAAAGGGCTCACATATCTTAATATCTCTTTCAAGATCGTGCCCCAGCGAATTCTTTAAGAATACAGTGTAATTCTCTCTCTCTCTCTCTCTCTCTCTCTCTCTCTCTCTCTCTAGCTCTTCCACCTGGTCTCTCCGTCTCCCCACGCTTGGCAGCCTGTGAGGGTAAGCGGTCACCCCCGCCTGCCCGTACCGAGACCAAGGTGCCAATCCTCTGCTGTAACTTGGTGGGGTCTGGGCAGCAGGCCAGCAGGTATGTTTAACTTCATCTTGTTTTTACATGATGACTGGGGTGCATAGACACAGACTTGGAATTCTGTGTAGAGTGATTCTCATTTGATAAAATCAAACATCCTTTCTCAAGGTTAGTCAACTAGGAGTACAGTACTTTCTGCTCAAGAGCATCATCGATAATTACCTTAAACAGATGGCAAACGAGGGGCACCTCGGGGGCTCAGTCGGTCAAGCGTCCGACTTTAGCTCAGGTCATGGTCTCATGGTTTGTGAGTTCAAGCCCCACGTCGGGCTCTGTGCTGACAGCTCGGAGCCTGGAGCCTGCTTCTGATTCTGTGTCTCCCTCTCTCTCTGCCCCTCCCCTGCTCACACTCTTGTCTCTCTTTCAAAAATACATAAAACTAAAAAAAAAGTTTTAATTATTAAAAATTATGATATAGGCTATAAGTAAAAAAAATTTTTTGAAGCCAAAAAAAATTGTAGTATGGACGGAAGAATATATATTTAAATCAATGTAACAGAATAGGCCAAAGTATAATTAAGTATTGATAAGAGTGGTATATTTCACATTATTAGTGAATGAATTATTCAGTACGTAAGGGGAGGATTAGTTTATTTCTTTATTTTATATAATCAATTTCTTTACTCCCACCATAGATTCGCATGTATACATTATAGATTGATTAAAGAGGTAATTCTAGAAAAGGAATCCATAAAACAGCTTGAAAATCATGTAGGGAAATACATATGTCTTTGGGTGGGGGACTATTTTAACACCTGAGGCAAGAGGCTATCAAGGAAAAGGCTAATGTTTTAGATGCACTTACCATTTTAAGCACAACCAAGGAGAAAATATATCACACGACAGATGAAGGGCTCATAGTCCATCGTGTAAAACCCAGCTCTGAAATTAGTGAGAGAGATACCCTTAGTAAAACGAGGCACAGAAATTAACATTAATTCACAGAAGAAATATAAGCACAGATTAAAACACTCAGCTTTGTCAGCAGTAGAAGACGTTCTAATTGCAATAGAAAGATGCTGTTCGGGGCGCCTGGGTGGCTTAGTCAGTTAAGCGTCCGACTTTCGCTTAGGTCATGATCTCGCGGTTCGTGGGTTTGAGCCCCTCGTCGGGCTCTGTGCTGACTGCCAGCTCAGAGCCTGGAGCCTGTTTCAGTCTGTGACTCCCTCTCTCTCTGACCCTGCCCTGCTCACTGTCTCTCTCTCTCTCTCCTAGAAATAAATAAAACATTTAAAAAAAAAGAAAGATGCTGTTCACCTTTGAGATGGGTAAAGGGCTTAGGAGACTAGATAATACTCATTCTGGGCCAGTGTCGAGGGAAGGGGGCCCAGGGCCCCCTGGTACGGTGGTGTGGCTTTTGTGGAGAGCAGGCTGGGCATGAATAGCTTTGGTCTTACACATCCGCCTCTGGAACTGTATCCCAAAGACACAACCAGTCACGGGCCCCCAGAGGTGTATGTGTAAGAATGTACGTGGCTCCTGCTATAAGCAGGCAACGTTCAAATTAAAAAGTGGGAAGCGGCCCAGACGCCTAACAGTAGAGAGTAAGGCCAGTAAACCGACAGAGGACAGCCCAGCGCCTCTGACCTTCCAGACACATCACCTCAGATCTGTGCTGTGTGTCAGCAAAGTGCATTCAGCAGCGTGACATTCCTATCCCACCGGAGCCTCATACAACCTTGCGTGGCCACAGGGCGGTCAATGGTTGGTGATTGGTCCAGTGGTACCCACGACCGAGCCGTGGAACTGTGGCCACGGCCACATGTGGCGTTCTTGGCACCACAGGCCTTCCCCGGTGTGTTCATCAGCTTGGGATACGGAAGAGATTCCCATTTATGAGAATATGCCCCGGATACACAAACCCTCCAGTGCGTCGGCTGGACTGGGCTCCTCTGGGTTCATCCTGCCCTGCTTTCCTCTGGCTCCCATGTTCTCCGACTCTGCCGTGGGGAAGGTGGCTTCCTGGCTGGGTGGTTGTATGCAGCCATGTCTCTCCGTGGCTTTGCATTTCTGGGCCGTCTGTGTAACCTAATGCGCCCGTTCGCAGTGATGCTTCTCGGAAGGGCACTTTTGTACTGTGCTGGGTGCTTGTCTCTTAACCCAATGGAGTGGTGGTCCTGACAGAGCAAGTGCTCGTGGTTGTTGAGTACTGTTGCTTTTTCTGTTGCTGAGATAACCCGATGACCTTGAATTTTTCAGGTTCGGTCCACCTTTCCTGATACGGGAAGACAGAGCCATTTCCTGGGTCCAGCTCCAGCAATGCATTCTCAGTAAGGCCCGCTATCTCATGAAAAGCGAGGCCCCCCTCCAGGTCAGTGTGTGTGTGTGTGTGTGTGTGTGTGTGTGTGTGTGCGTGTGTGTGTGTGTGTTGTGGGGGTTGGAGACAGGGGTAGGCATCTGGGGACAGACAAGAATTTGCTGTTAATGAGAGCGTTCAGGGGTGCCTGGGTGGCTCAGGTTGTTGAGTGTCCATCTTTGACTCAGGTCATGATCTCGCAGTCCATGAGTTCAAGTCCCACATCCGGCTCTGTGTTGACGGCTCAGAGCCGGGAGCCTGCTTTGGATTCTGTGTCTCCCTCTCTCTCTGGCCCTCCCCTGCTCATGCTCTCTCTCTCTCTGTCTGTCTCACAAAAATAAACATTTAAAAACATTTAAAAAAAAAAACCAACAAACTCAAGGCAAAACACTTCTTGGCCTTGCTCATTTTTTTATTCTCAGATTGGTAGTTTCCAAATAAAAACGATATGCGCTAAAACCATCCCTTATAGCCCCTAGAGTGTCGGAAAGTATTCCGATGGCTGCCTGGCACAGAAGACAATGGAATTTTGAGGGACAGGTCAGGAGCCTCAGAACGTTGATTCCCTCTGGCTGTTCTGTATGTAAGGACTTAAATCATTCATGCTCCTTCCTGCTCAGGGAAGACCATACGTTTGGTTCAGGATTTACGTGAAATAACACTTGGTCAAAGACCTTCTCTGCATCCGTACCCGCCTTTCTCCCTTCAAAGATTTTTTTTTTGCTCTGTGGACTGCCCAGGGGATCTGCCGCGATGCCTGAATTAGAGATTCTAACTTCTCTCGAAGTAGGTCAGAATCTCTCGTAATAGCTCCAGGCTTCCCCGATCTCTGTGCTCCTGATTTCTGCAAGTGGATGAAACTGCCTTGGTGTGATGGTGGGACTCCGCTGTCCTTCTCCACCTGGTCAACATGCACGTGACTTCAGCGCCTCTCCGGCCACTTAGTTTTCAGAAGCCCCTCGGGCAGTCAGCGGGGCCAGCTAAATGCTAACTGAGGCAACCTTGCCCTAGGGGTGCTTTTTTACAGAGTCCCTGGTAAACGCGTGGATGGACCTGATTCTCTGTAGGAATGACGTCTTCTGAATGGTCATGAGGTTCCTAGGGAAGCCTGTTCTTTTAACCCCGAATGCTTCTGTACCCTATTAAATCCTGCCTTGGGATGGTGATCATTTGAAAAGAACACATTGATGGGGCGCCTGGGTGGCTTAGTCGGTTAAGCGTCCGACTTTCGCTTGGGTCATGATCTCGCGGTTCGTGGGTTCGAGCCCCGCGTCGGGCTCTGTGCTGACTGCCAGCTCAGAGCCTGGAGCCTGTTTCAGTCTGTGACTCCCTCTCTCTCTGACCCTCTCCTGCTCATGCTGTCTCTATCTCTCTCCTAGAAATAAATAAAAACATTAAAAAAAAAAAAATTGAAAAGAACACATTGAGAAACCTTGACCTTGAGCTAAAGAGATTGAAAGTAGTGAAGGTTCGGGGTGCCTGGGTGGCTCTGTCGGTTGAGCGTCCGACTCTTGATTGAGGCTCAAGTCACGATCTCACCGTTTGTTGGTTTGAGCCCTGCATCAGGCTCTGCGGTGACACTGCAGAGCCTGCTTGGGATTCTGTCTCCCCCTCTCTCTGCCGCTCCCATGTTCTCTGTCTCTCAAAAAACAAAGAACTTAAAATAACCTAAAAAAGAAAACAAACAAACAAAAAAAAATAGCGGAGGTTCTGAAATGAATTTCCCTCGCTGCGAATAAAGGACAGGAGAACATCTTAGAAAAATGACCACTCTGGTGGACAGGATGAATTTGTACGAATCATGAAAAAAAAAAAGAGATGTATCATCGCCGAGGCGTTTATATGGTCACCCTGTAAACTTCCTTTGTGTGTAGACGGGATAAGCCACCTCCACTCAGTACTGGTGCCTTGATGGCGCTGATGCTGTAGCTGCCCAAATAGCAGGGCTCAATTAGGGAGAAGACCCCTCCCCCTCAACCCTGCGTCCCCAGATTTAAGAAACAGTCTCCTTAGGAATTGCAGCCTTCCGTGGCCAGCCCTGGCTCAAAGGCTCTGGAGTGAGCTCATTACCAGCAGTTGTTTTTGCCTTTGTTGAAGCCGCAGGCCAGCTAGAGTGGTGATGGCCCATCTGGGCACGCACCCTGAACTTCACAGTCAAGGCGCTTTAGAGCCCGGCTCTGATTCACCTTGCCAGCGTCCCATGTGCTCCCGCACACACGAGCTTCCAGAGGCCAAGGAGCGGATGGGATCGCAGCTCTTCGAATACGTTCTGGGTCAGTGCACCGTCGCTCTTTCCCGGAATTACAATGCCCTCTCCTCTTTCACTGCTTTTCCAATAAAGATGCGTCTACCATTTTTGTCACTGTCAGAGTTGGGAAGGAAATTTCGTTGTTTTGCTAGTTATAGCTAAGGTCATCTGTGACCATTTTAAGAGCTGTATTGGCTTTACTTGAACATTCCATTGATTTAAAAAAATTTTTTTAATGACTATTTTTGAGAGAGACCGACCATGAGTAGGGAAGGGCAGAGAGCGAGGAAGACACAGACTCCAAAGCAGGGTCCAGGCTCCTAGCTGTCAGCACAGAGCCCGACGTGGAGCTCGAACTCACAGACCGTGAGATCGTGACCTGAGCTGAAGTCAAGAGTCGGATGCGTCACTGACCGAGCCCCCCAGGCGCCCCTTGAAGGCTAATTTTTAAGAGATACTCAAAATAGGCTATAAACAAAAAAGATCCCAGTTCTCGAGGAATTTATCTGCATCCGAGCGTCTTCGTGAAATCCAGGGCCTCTCGTTTTTGTCTCGGCAGAACCCGGGGACTCTGTTCTCCATCCGGGTTGTGGGGCTTTCTCTGGCCTGCAGCTACTTGGCCCCGCAGGACAGCCATCCCCTCAATCACTGGGCAGTTGACAGGTAAGGGGACTGTTCCAGATTGGGTAAGAGAATGAGCGCAGGTGTATCTGACGGCACTCCTCTGAGGTTCTGGGTCAGCAAACTGGTTATATCTCAGCTGCTCTGTGTAACTCGCCTCCCAGTGCCGACCCCTCGTGTTAGATCCTGAGACACACTCTGTGCCGTCCACCCGTCGGTCTAGAGAAGGGCTGTCATAGCCACTTCGAAGAGGAGGGGTTGCTGAGGCCCCCAGGCATCAGTTGACCCGCTCGTATTTATGGAGCTAATGGCCGAGCCTGAATCAGAATCCATTCCCGCCTAACCGAGAAAGCCAGATGCACTCGGTTCGGTCGTGCTAACGCTGGCAGGTAGCATGAAGGTCCCGTCTGGGGTAGAGGAGAATTGTGCTCGAACCACAGAACACTCTGACTGCCACCGAGGCAGAAAGCCGGCATGGTCACCCCCACGGGCAGCCCGGAGCCTGAGAGGCGGTTCTGCTCGATCACGAGTCTGGTGCGTTTTGTCACATTCACCGCCATCGCCTGGGTTTGGGCCCCTGGAGCCTCAGGGATCGATGTCCCGGGAGCATCCAGACCAGGGGCCCTTCCCTGCCTGTATAAGCCCTTCGGTGGCCCGCGGGGGTAAAGTCCGTGTTTCTGGGAGCAGCAGCCGCATGCACGCACATCCCTGTGTGGCCCGCCCTGCACCCGGCTGAAGTCAGGACCGCCCCCGCCCCGCTGGCCTCTCCCCTGCGCATCCTACGCAGGAGATCTCTGGGCCCGGCTGCCTCCCTCCGCATCCTATAAACGCTCTGCGCACTCAGCCATCACGTTTGCGTGTCTCCCATTAGACCCTGAGCTCCGTCAGAGAGGGTAGAGGGGAGGGATTGTGTCTGTGATGCCCAGCATTGCACCCCTCCGTGAGCCCCGAGCGGTGCTCTCTTTCCTATTTGGGTCCCGGCTGCGATCAGGAGGGAAGGCCGTGCTGTCTGCTGAACGATCGTCTCCACGCAAGGGGCGAAGTCACGTCATGACTCCCCTGCCGCTCCCTTTTTGTGCCCCCAGGGGTTTTGTGTCACAGAATTAGGGCCTGGCGCTACCAGGTCTTCCCCAGTGTAGACGCCAGGTGGGAAGGAAACAGGATTGAGGCTGACCCAGGGGGGTGAGGCTCGGGATAGAGTGCGCCCTGTCCAGTGTTTCCCCCGGATCGAGTGTCCCGCTCTGTCCCCAGTCAGCAGGGCTTGCTGAGCCAGGAGGACCCTCCCCACACCACCCCGCTGACCCTGGCCCCTGCTCACAGGGTTGTTAGCACAACTTCAGACCACCTGAGGGCTTTTGTACCTTCCGTGAGCTCAAAGCCTGTTTTAGAATCTTGGTGACAGTTAGGGACTCATGTGATGCCCCCACTTTTTTCTTGCGATGCATTTTCAATTTTGTTTTATTTTATTATTTTATTAGAAACAGAGACAGCACAAGCAGGGGAGGGGCAGAGAGGGGTGGGGGGGGACAGAATCTGAAGCAGGCTCCAGGCTCTGAGCTGTCAGCACTGAGCCCGACGCGGGGCTCAGACTCATGAGCCTTGAGATCATGACATGAGCTGAAGTCGGACGCTCAGCCGACTGAGCCGCCCAGGCGCCCCTCTCGTGATAAATTCTAAACGCTCGGACAGACGTTCCCATCGCTTGTGTGCATCTTGTGGATTTCGGGACAAAGCTCCGCGCTCTCCACTTGCTCCCTGACTTCTGTGAAACTGGCTGAGCTCAAGCAGCTGGAAGAGCCTGGGGGGAAGGGGGAGCTTACCCTGAGAGTTTCTGCATCTTTGAGGGTCCACATAGGGAAAGCCTTTGAGGCCGTGGACGCAGGCGAGAGAGGTGCCTGTTTCCCACTGCGATGGAAGTGAAGTCAGGGGCCCCTAGGAGGTGGTGTCAGAATTGGGGGTTCATCTAGACACCCCGAAGGGGGCCGAGGCTCCAGGGACAGTGGATCTTTGACCTTGCTCCATGGGAGCCAGTGGGGGACGGTCAGGGGAGGGAGGGTCAGGAGGAAGCCTTCAGCAGACCCCATCCCCCAGATGCCCAGCTTCGGTTTACACTCAGTTTTGCTGCTTCTGTTTGGGACAGCAGGTCCTGGGGTTGGAGGTGGGGGAGGGGGGGAGGAGGCCCTGTGCTTTCTGATGGGCTTTCCCTGTTCTCTCCTCAGGGCTTTGCACCCCAGGAGGCCTGGAGGCCCCCCGCACATCAAACTGGCCGTGGAGTGGGATAGCGACGCCAAGGGACGGTGAGTTCTCCAGCGCTGGGCTCCAGTGGAGAAGACAGAGGCCTCCCTGTGCACATAAGTCTGCCTGTGCCCCGTCCCCCCCGATATGGCTGAGGCAGTACCTACGCTTCCTTGAGGCCACGTGATCCAGGCCTCTGAGAAGTCCTAATGACAATAGTGTGCATTTTTTTTACATTTATTTATTTTTGAGAGAGAGAGGGAAAGACAGAGCATGAGCAGGGGAGGGGCAGAGAGAGGGAGACACAGAATCCAAAGCAGGCTCTGAGCCATCAGCACAGAGCCCGACGTGGGGCTCGAACGCACAAACCATGAGATCATGACCTGAGCGGGAGCCGGAGGCTTAACCGACTGAGCCACCCAGGCGCCCTGACAATTGTATGCACTTGAACAAGGATGGTGAGAGTGGTGATCACAGTGGTGAGGGGCGTCCAGAGCGGCCCAGCACGAGCATGAACGGTTGTGGGAGGCTTCCGCAGCGCCCTGTGAGGCTGGTGCTCCCACAGCCCACAATTTGCAGACCGGAGGCTGAAGCCCCGAGAGGTTGAACAGTTTCTCAGTGTCCACACTGCACCGGGAAGAGCCGGGATTTGAACCCAGCAGGTCCGGTTCAAGTCCATGCTCCTTGGTCACTCAACTTGGCCATTTCTATAATTCGATGGCGCGCGGCCTACGTCGCCGAAGGGCCATCGTTCAGTCCGGCTGGTACTTACTAGTCCCCCGCGAGGTAGCAGGCCCTGCGCGGAGGAGGAGGCTGGCACATCAGCCAAGCCCTTGGTCCCCCTGGAGCCTGTTGGGGGGAGACAGCGGGAAGGCTCGTCGGAGAGCGTGGCGCCCGAGCAGAGTGCGCACCCCGCACCGGGCTGTAGGCTTGGCCTCCCGGCAGGCGCCCCCCACCCCCCACCCCACCTGCGTGCTGGGCGCCCCGCACCTGCCTGCCGTGAGAGGCCGCAGGTGAGACGCCCCGATGCCGCCGGCTTCCTCTCCTGGCAGCCTGTTCGGGAGCCCCCAGGAGGAGCGGGTCCAGGACGCGGACAGCGTGCGGCGACAGCGGGAGGCGCACCAGCAGCCCAGCTGCACCTTGGATGAGTGTTTCCGGTTCTACACCAAGGAGGAGCAGGTCTCGGCCGAGGGTCCTGCCCTAACCCCCCCCCCACCCCCCCCACCGCCCGGGGCAGGGAAGGGCGGGTGGCCCTGACGGTCGGGCGCTTTCCTCTCCAGCTGGCGCAGGACGACGCGTGGAAGTGTCCGCACTGCGACGCCCTCCAGCGGGGCACCGTGAAGCTGAGTCTGTGGACCCTGCCTGACATCCTCATCATCCACCTGAAACGGTTCTGGCAGGTGGGCGACCGGAGAAACAAGCTGTCCACGCTCGTCAAGTTCCCGCTCTGTGGCCTCGACATGGGCCCACATGTGGCCCCCAGGCCCCTGACGGGCCCCTGGCCTTCCTGGGAGCGGCCTGCCTGCCCGCCGGACTCCCTGTACGACTTGTACGCCGTCTGCAACCACCACGGCAGTCTGCAAGGTGGGCATTACACAGGTGAGCCTCGGGGCGCTGGGGAGGGGTGGGCATTACACAGGTGAGCCTCGGGGTGCCCGGGGAGGGGTGCACCCCTCGAGGCCGAGCTTGCGCCAGGCACTCGGCATACACCGACCCCTCAGCAGCCGCGCACCATGGACCTGGCACAGAGTGGGGGATCAGGTCCCAGCTGCAGCCTTGAGCTTGTATGGTGGTCGGAACGTCAAGTTAGTTGCAGCCTGAGTGTTTGGCCTCAGGAACAAGAGGGGGATCATTGTTGGAACCCGCGCTTACCCTCATCTGTGACTCAACACAGGGCCTCTTACGTATCGGGTGTGGTGTGTGTTATTTCCAGGGCGCCCATTTACCTGTCCTCCCTGCGAGGAGCTCGAGAGAGGTGGACAGTAGCAAAGACAGAAACAGCCGGCAGCTTGGTCTGCGCTGTTCCGGAATAACAAGTGATTTCATGTTAAAAAATGCTTTAAAGTATTATTCGGAAAGTGCACTGTTTCTGAGGTTCCAAGGTACCTACAGTTTGGAAAGCACGGGGCTGTGTAGAAAATCAGGGACCATGAAACAAGGATTTGTTATCTGCCCCTTCTGTGCCAGACGCTGTGTTCGGTGCTAGGCAAGACAGAGGAGTCCTGCCCTCCTTCAGTCGAATTTCAGACACAGCCAGTTAACAGGTGCTTGTCATTTTAGCTCATCCACCTCCTGGCATTATGAAAGGGTTTCATTGCTTGGGTCTGTGATAGAGGTAAGGCCTCTCTGAGGATAGCGCCCGTATGCCAAGGAATGAGCTGTGTGACTAATAGGAGGAAGACCATTACGGGCAGGGCTACTAGCATGTGCAAAGGCCCTGAGGCAGAGTTTGGTGTGTTTAAGAACTGATGAAAGCCTGTCATGGCTCAAGTATAGTGAGTCAGGGGTGAGTAACACAGATGAGGCTGGAGAGGTGGGCACTACGTGTAGGCTGTGGACCAGAGTTTGCATTTTTTCCAAAGCGTAATGGGAAGCCATGAAAAGGTTTTAGGCAGAAGAATAATAAAGATATAATCTAGTTCACAAATTGAGGGTATAGCTCTTATCTATGGAAAACAGGCAGAGTAGAAGTTGGAGTTCTGGTTAGGAATTTCTGGGACTCAAACCAGAGATGGTGTTGACTGGGACTCAGGAGGTGACAGTTGGGATACTGTAGATGCATTTTGGAAGTAGAATCAGTAAGATTGGCTTTTGGACTGGGTGTGGAGTGGAAGGGAAGAGGCAGGCAAAGCTGAGCCCCCAGGTGCCGGGTTTGGATTGGTGCAGGGCTCAGCTGACCATGGCCTGCAGGCCACATCCAGTCCAGTGCCTGATTTTGTTTAGCCTGTGAGTGAAAAAATGATTTTTACATGTTATAAGGTGGTAAAAAAAAATATATGTATGTATATATATGTGTGTATATATGTTATATATATTTATATATAATACACACATATACACATGTACATTATATGTATATTATATTACATTTTAAAAGGTGGTATAAAGTATGTATGTGTGTATATATGTTATATATAATGTGTGTATACATATATACAATATATATTACATTTTAAAAGGGGGTAAAATATGTATGTGTATATGTATGTAAATGTGTATATATTATAATCTATTATTACAATTATACAATATAATATATTAAATACGTATATATATATATGCAGAGACTGTCTGTGGCCATATGTGACCTGGTAAAGCCTCAGCTATTTTCCTGTGTGGCTCATTACAGAAAAGTGGGCTGACCCTGTATTCGTGGGTGATGGTACCTTTCACTGAGATGTGGAGGGAAAGGAAAAGCATATTTTGTCATGATTGTTTCAGAGATGGTAAGAATCTTATTTATGGACATTTTCCTTCATGTTTTGCTTCAGTTCATAGGCAGGAAAGAAGTATGCCATAATCCCAAATGCATTTTTTTTATTGCATCCTGAATCAGAGATGCGTATTTCGGAACTTCTCAGGGAACAGGGTGAACGTGGACATTACGGTCTGGCTAAATAATTTGGGGCTCCCCGTGGCTGGAGGTTTTACCTGAGCAAGGGCTCCAACGTACGGATTCAGACGTAAAGTAACAGCACGCCTTTTATCAGTAGGCAGCTGGCTGTGTAACTGATCGATCTCTCTGATTCCAGAGAATTCACTTCCGGCCCCACATGGACCGATGTTTCGCAGTCTGTTACAGACACGTCCGTTTTTTCAGCTCCGGTGGCGAGACATCCTTTCTGCTTTGAAGGGGCTCCCATAACCGGCCGGGGGGGGGGGGGTTTGGACTTTTGCAGCCTACTGTCGGAACTCTCTGGATGGCCGCTGGTACAGCTATGACGACAGCACGGTGGACCCGCTCCGGGAAGAGGAGGTCAACACGCAAGGGGCTTACATTCTGTTTTACCAGAAACGGAACAGCATCCCTCCCTGGTCAGCTAGCAGCTCTGTGAGAGGTGAGAGCTGAGCCCGTGCGGGGAGCGGCTCTGGCCCGGGGCTCAGTCAGACACCAGGGACCGGGGAGGTGGGCACGGGCCTGGAGGCAGGGGACCTGACTGCTGCTTTGAGATTTGGGTCCGACAGGCAGGCGTCCTGATGGCCGGGTTGTGCGATGCACACGGTAAAACCCAGGAAGGGGAAAGGAATATTTTGCAGCGGGCGACCCTTGGTGGTTTGGGTATTTCAGGTTTCTGGTCTCCCTCATATCGAGCCAGACTTTAATGAAGCTTGTGCGACAAACACCTAACAGTCTGTCCTGTGAGGAAGGGCGGTTAGTAGGGACCCAGGGTCTCAGCAGGAAAGGTAGCTGCTTAACCCCGCCCAGCGACACCTCTGGTTAACAACCTCAAACTTGGAAGTCTGGAGGAAATTTTAAATTTTTTTTAATGTTTTATATATTTCTGAGAGAGAAAGCATGAGCGGGGGAGAGGCAGAGAGAGAGGGAGGCACAGAATCCGAAGCAGGCTCCAGGCTCTGAGCTGTCAGCACAGAGCCCGACGTGGGGCTCGAACCCACGAACTGCAAGATCATGACCTGAGCCGAAGTCGTACGCTTAACGGACTGAGCCACCCAGGCGCCTTGAGGAGGAAATTTTAAAAAAGGATCAAAGTTGACCTTTTTATGTGATTTATTTCACTCTGCAATTCTATCGTTATCTTTGGGATGAGAGAGCTTTTTTTTTTTAATGTTTATTTATTTTTAAGAGAGAGAGACAGATCGCAAGCAGGGGAGGAGCAGAGAGAGGGAGACACAGAATGGAAGCAGGCTCCAGGCTTCGAGCTGTCAGCACAGAGCCCGACGCGGGGCTTGAACTCGTGATCCATGAGATCATGACCTGAGCCAAAGTCGGATACTCAATCAACTGAGCCACCCAGGCATCTTTTTTTTTTTTTTAATTGTCTATATGGTCTTCCTAACCCTTGTTGGAAGGCAGGCAAATTAAACCAAAATGCCCCAGGAGGGCTAAATCAACCCTAACATGAAGCCTGCCTTCCTTTTATAGAAGATAAAACAAATGGAAAACCTAGCCTATTTAGAAAACTAGAGATGGTGGCAAGTAATTGTTAGGAAAAACACTTTTTTTGAAAGTTTTATTTATTCGAGACGGGGGGGGGGGGGTGTGGACAGAGAGAGAGAGAACCCCTAGCAGGCTCTGTGCTGGCAGCGCAGAGCCAGATGCAGGGCTCGGACTCTCGCACCCTAAGATCACGACCTGAGCTGCAACCGAGAGGCGGCCGCTCCACGGACTGCACCCCCCCAGGCGCCCCGGGAAAAGCGTTTGCATCCTCAGCAGCGCACTGACCTTTCTGTCCCAAGTTTCCCTGAGTTTTCAGCTTGGTCACGTGGCTAATCCCTTGCGGGTTCCTCTGCTGGTGGTGACTGTTGCCTGTGTGCTTCTGCTTTGGCTGTGCAGTCCCAGGGCTCGGGGGGTGGGGGGTGGGGGTCTGGCTTTGAGAAGCTCCTCCGGGGACCCCCGATGGGCTGGGTCCAGGTCCAGCCTTCCCTCTGTGCTTCCCCACAGGCTCCACCAGCTCGTCCTTCTCCGATCACTGGCTCGTTCGGCTGGGGAGCACTAACAGCAGCGCGAGGGGGAGCCTGCTGTCCGCGAGCTCCAGCCCCGGCCCCTCCCGCCCCCCCCGGCCCCGGGCGCCTGACCCTCCCGTCTTCGCCGGCGGCCTCTCCGATCAGGAAAAGGGTATGTCCCACCGTGTCGGTAAGATCGGCCGGTTTTATTGTCATTTTCTGTAACGACCGCTGCTCCTCAGCTTTGAGTGTGACGTGTCCATCAGGGACGCCTGGCGGCTCCATCGGTTGAGCGGCCGACTTTGGCTCAGGTCATGATGTCGGAGTTCGTGAGTTCGAGCCCCGCGTGGGGCTCTGTGCTGACAGCTCGGAGCCTGGAGCCTGCTTCAGATTCTCTCTCTCTGCCCCTCCCTCCCTGACGCTCTGTCTCTCTCTCTATCACTCTCAAAAATAAATAGGCCTTAAAAATTTTTTTTAAAAATGTCCGTCATTAGGAGAGACATTCGTGTCTCATATCGCATCTTCCGTGACCAGCCCTCCCCTCACCCACCTCCCCCGTCCGCTGCCCTCCTGCTCCCCGGAGCTCGCCGTCTAACGGGGAAAACCAGACGTAAACGAGTAGATGCATGTGATGACCTGGTGTAAAGCAAGGAAGGAAGTAGATCATCAGGGGAATGATGGAGGGATTCGGTCCGAAGATTCCAGGCTGGGGAGGGGGAGAGGAAGGGTGCCGGGGCCCCCGTTAGATGGGGCGGGTGGGGAAGGTCCTTCTGAAGTGGCAGCTGTGGAGCAGAGAGCTGAGCGAGGGAGGGAGACACGTGCCCCAGGCAGGGAGCGCCGGGGAGGCGGTGAGCACGGGCTGCGCGTGAGAGGCAGAGGGAGCGTCCCTCTGGCTCACGGTACAGAGTTGGCGTTTGGCCCCAAGAGCGGTGAGTAGCCGTCGGGGAATTCTGAGCAGAGAGGTGATCGATCTGATTTATATTTTCACCAAGTCTGCTCTGTGACTCCGTCACGGCGGGTGGGGACGAGGGTGGGAGGCCGGGTGGGGGGCTGGCTGTGCCCATCTGAGCGAGGGCGAGGCCCCGGGAGCAGCGCGCTGGGTAGGAGGCGGCCAGATTCTGGCTGTATTTGAATTCGGAGCTGTGAGAGGAGCCGAGTGGTCAGGGAGGACTCCCTGCTGAGGAGGGCAGGTCATTGGTGGGGGGGCGCGAGGAGGGAGGGAAAAATCAGAAACTTTGCAACACGTGATTCTGAGACCCCGGTACGACATCCAGGTCCGGATGGTAACGAGGAGTCGTCAGCAGGCGGATGGCTTTGGAAACCCAGGGGAACTGTGACCTGACCCCGGCCCCGGGAGACGCCTGCAGGGCTGAGGCTGAGACGGCATGTAGCAGCTCCTCCCGGGGCCTGGGTTAAAGGCGCTGTGGCTGCAGAGAAACGCCAGCTGACCGCAGCTCGTGTTCGTTTTTCTTCGCCAACCGGGACACAGAGCATGTTGGCATCCAGATGATGCCATTAGGATTCAGATGGGCCTGTCCCTGGAGGGAGGAAATGATGGTGCAGGGAGCCAGGGGGTAACCACAGAAATAGCCCATCCGTTAAATCTCCGAGTGTGTGCGTGCTCTGCACCCCTTTGTTCAGAAAGAAGCAACATGTGCTAATTACTTAGTTTCCGCGTGTCCTCGTAGCTCCCGAATTAGCTTTTAAAATAAGATTTTTCGGTGGTACCTGAGTGGCTCAGTTAAGCATCCAGCTCTTGATTTCAGTTCAGGTCATAATTTCACAGTTTGTGAGATCGAGCCCTACCTCGGGCTCTGCGATGACAGTGCAGAGTCTGCTTGGGATTCTCTCTCCCTCTCTCTCTCTCTCTCTCTCTCTCTCAAAATAAAACTTAAAAAAATCTTTTTAATGGAAGTGTGATATATACACAGAAATGTCTATTAATCACAAAAGCACATCTGATGAATGACCCCAAAATGTGCACATCCATATAACAGTCACCCAGATTACGAAATAGAATGTTCCAGGCCCTCCCCGCCCCCTTGTGTTTTCTCAATCATCACTGTTTCCCTCCTTTCCAGAGGGGGCACTATTCTCACTTCTAACGCCATAGATTGATCTTGTCTGAGTTGGGACTTCATGTAAATGGAGTCCTATAGTACATATTTTTTTCCTGTTCGGTTTCCTTTCCCCATCGTAGTATCTGTGAAATTTATATATGTTGTCATCTTATTCCGTTGGTCAAAAAAGAAAAAAAATGTTTATTGTTTATTCATGTTTTTGAGAGACAGAGAGAGAGTGGGTGAGGGGCAGAGAGGGAGAGAGAGGGAGACACAGAATCCGAAGCAGGCTCCAGGCTCTGAGCTGTCAGCACAGAGCCCGACGCGGGGCTCGAATTATGGATTCTTAAGTTACTTGGTGACGCTCCGGAAATCTCTGCAAGACTGACCCACGTTGTCAGAAGAGTTCGTGTTTTACTTACATCTCCTCTTGCGGTTGGTTACTGGGGTCCTTTGTGGTGTGGGCTCTCGCCAGTGCCCCGTCTGTGCACATATTTGCTCCCATGTTTCCGTTGTGAGTATCTGGGAGTGAGATTGCTCCTGGGCGTGGCCTATGCATTCATTCATCAGCTATTTACGTCTTTATACATTATGTTTCCTTGTATCCAAGTGGCCAGCAGGGTGTCTGACATGTAGCAGGCTCTTGTTACGTATTTCTGAGTGGATACATGTGATGATACAATCTTGAGGCTGCAGGTGGATCTTTGTATCCAGCCCTCTGGTTTATAAGGGTTTATGTGTTGCCAGTGGGTTGACTGTTCCTTAGGATTTGGCATTTTGGCCCCCAGTATTTCACAGATGGAATACTGATCAGAGCGCCTCTACGTGCATATGACATTTGTATGTTTCCTTAGAGGGCATTTTTTGTGTTTGTGTGTGTGTGGTGTTGTGTTTTTTTTGTTTTTTTGTTTTGTTTTTTGTTTTTTTTTGTGGAGGCCAACTGTTTAATGCGTTATGTTCTGACTCACCCTGTCTCTAGACTTTCCTTTTGCCCTTTCCTGATGCACACTGAGGGTACGCAGTGTCTGGCAAACCAAAAAAGGAGGCATTCTTTCCCCAGCTTGTCTATCCCCATCAGCGTGAGCCTCTGACCCACTTCTGTTCCAGTGCCGTGGGACCTTGGGCCACTTCTCAGTTCTCCCCCCAGGGAGAAGTATATTTCCCGCCCCCGTGGGAAGGCACCTTTCAAAGAGGGCTCAACTTTTCTTTTTTCCTTTTTTTTTTTTTTATTTCTAGGAGAGAGAGAGAGAGACAGCGTGAGCAGGGGAGGGTCAGAGAGAGAGGGAGTGACAGACTCCGAAACAGGCTCCAGCCTCTGAGCTGGCTGTCAGCACAGAGCCCGACGCGGGGCTTGAACCCACGAACCGCGAGATCATGACCTAAGCGAAAGTTCGGACGCTTAACCGACTAAGCCACCCAGGCGCCCCAAGGGCCCAACTTTTCAACATGGAACTCAGCCAGGAGTCAGACACAGCTTCAGAGGACCCCCCACCCTCCAGCCCCCCAGGAGACAGAGAGCGCTAGGGCGGGAGGGGAAGCAATACGGAAGAATAACTGTATCCCAGCCCCTGGCAGGCATTTAACTTCTCCATCTGGTCATCAGCATCTCCAGGAGGGTGAAATGAAAGCCCCTTTTCCAGAGGAGAAAGCCGAGGCTGGGAAGTCACCAGGAGCGAGCTCACCTCCTTGGCGAAGAGGCGGGGCTCCGGGCAGATCCCGCTCCCTCTGGCCGCCGGCATCCTGGCTCTGTGGCTGCGACGCACATTCCAAACTGGAGTTTATTCCCATGCACACTCGCCAGAGCCTTGCTGCCAAAGGGAGCGCCCCCTCTTGACATTGGACCCAAACGGTGATGGGCTTCGGAACCTGTTGTGATAGTTGAAACCCCAGCCTCGTTTTCTTGTTAGCAGTCAGCTTGGGCAAACCAGCTGCAGCATCTACGTTTCCATGCTGGGGGGTGGGGGGTGGGGTACCACCCATTCTCCCCATGGGTTTGGGGGAGAGTTCTGTCACCATCCAAACAAGTAGAGGGGACTAAGTAACATGTAGCGCCCAGTGGGCAGGGCCAGAGATGGTGTCGTTTCAGGACCGACTGTCCCTCCCAAACGCCAAGCAGTCCTCTGGAGAGATACCCTAACAGCTTGGGAACCTCATCCTTCTGGTAGCTTCAGTTATGGGATACGAGAGTGAGGAAGGCATTTGGACCAAAAGGAGTGGCTGCAAGGTATATTGAAGGGGACTGCGTCTTCCGTAACTGGGGACGGGTATAGGAAACTCTCCAAGGAGGAAGATGTAAAGACACCCTACGTTTGCAAATTTTAGGAAAAATAAAACCGTGTATGTGATGGGGTGCCTGAGTGGCTCAGTCGGTTGCGCATCCGACTTTTGATTTCGGCTCAGGTCATGATCCCAGAATTGTGGGATCGAGCCCCATGTTGGGCTCTGTGCTGGGTAGGGAGCCTGCTTCCGATTCTCTCTGTCTCTGTCTCTGTCTCTGTCTCTCTCTCTCTCTCTCTGTTAAATGGGGAAAAAAAAGAAAACAAGACTATGTGAAAACACCACTAGGGCCCTACGCAGAAGCCCCCTGGATGAAAAAGGGGCCTCAAGACTTCAGCTTCATGGTAGAAGTGCTTCTGATCCTAGATTTTCTCTATGACTGTTATTGGGCCTTTGAGGTTTTGTTTCTCACTTTTTCAGTGCATTCCAGATACTACGTTCTTTCCATTTTTATTTCCTCTTTAAAGGTTATCTGGAAGTTTAGAGCATTTATGATTTGGGGGAGGGTCTCCCTGGAACTCTCTCTTTCTAATTTTGTGGATGGTTAGCCAAGAATGTGGTTTTCCAAAAGCATTCCCTTTTTGTGATGCAGTAAGTACATAATTATAATTTTGTCGATGTTCTGTGCACGCATCAAATAATGTCGACTGTGTCTATTTGAGGGATATGAGCTTTCGGTCGTAACTCTTAAATTAGGTGAGTCGATTTTTGGATTTAGTTCACTTTAAGTTGACATTTTCGAGGACGGCCTCGCCAGGAAGGAGGTATATTGCAATCCTCTGTACAGCTGTATTTTTAATCAAGTACACCAGGAACTTTAGGAATTTCCACTTTA